CTGCAGAATACATTAAGCAAGAAGAAGCTGCTTTGAATCAAGAAATAGAGAATTTGATACCTACAAAATGGAATGCGATTGAGATAAGTCACGAGCTTCACATGACAATGATCGATGGGAAAGTGGCCACTATTATTACAGACACATCTGCTGCATCTATTTGTAATATTTGTCTTGCTAAACCCACTGAAATGAACAAGCTCTCAGAAGTGTTTTCAAGACCTGCTCAGGAAAATGTTTACAAATATGGACTTTCTTCTTTCCATATGTGGATTCGTTGCATGGAGTGTATTCTACACATTTCATATAACATGGATTTCAAGTTGTGGAGTGCACGAGGTTTGAACAAAGAACTGAAAGCGGCGAAGAAACAATTGATACAACAGAAATTCAAACAGCAGATGGGGCTACTTGTGGATGTGGTCAAGCAAGGGTTTGGAACCACAAACGACGGTAACACGGCTAGAAGATTTTTTAGAGAGTACGAAAAGTCTGCAGAGATTACCAATCTTGACCAAAATCTATTGAAGCGGTTTGCAGTTATTCTTCAAGTAATTTCATCTGGGTGTGCCATCAAAATTGAAAAATTTCGAATTTACTGCAGACAGACAGCTGAGTTTATGGTTCATCTCTATCCTTGGTTCTATATGCCAGCTAGTGTGCATGAACTACTTGTACATGGTGCAGACATTTGTAATTATTTTGGCTTGTTACCAATTGGCATTCTTTCGGAAGAAGCGGGAGAAGCCAGAAATAAAGACTTCAGACGGGTTCGTGAATTTCAAACAAGAAAATTCAACAGGGTGAAGACAAATTAAGACTTGCTCCATAATTTTTTAATAAGCTCTGATCCATACCTGTCTCACATTCGACCAAAATACAGCTATGCGAAGAAATTAAATCTTATCCCAGAAGCTATAGAACTTCTGTTGTTGCCTGAGGAAGCTACAGAAGCAATAGAAACAGATTTACAATAATAAAATACTATACTAATCTGGCAGCATACTCCTAGATCTATAGCTTCCAAAATACCCCTTCAGCGACCTTTAGACACCGAAGCATCGCGCGCGGTACGGTTAAGGATCCTCAGATACTTTATAGTTTTGTATTGTCGTTCGTCAGTCCGTCCGTGTGCGCTATAACTCTTTTTAAAAGTGGCCGATTGTGTTGAAATTAAATGTGCGGGTACTTTGGACATCAAGAACGGACGCTATTGATTTTCAGGAAGCTGGTTGAACAGGAACAAAAGTTATAGGACTTCGAGTGAATCAGGAACAGGAAAAACTGCGAACTCATAATAATAGAAATTAACATATTTCATTCCCTATGACTCTTAGAGGTGTAACAATTCAATATATCTCTTCTTTGTGGTCTATCAAAAGTTTGAGAGCAAAATATACCCAAAATTATTCATTACACATAAATTTCAAGTTGTCCAAGCTTTCAAACGCATTATCTTGATGCTAAAAGAGTACATCACATGTACATTTGATAACCGCATGTGTGTGATTCAACGATGTTAAATTCTTTTTCTGAGGCCACATGGATTTTAATCCAAACATGTCAAATTTGTTATTCTTGCAATGGGGTCGTTGGGAAAAAGACTAAGTTAATTGAGAACAAGATTAAGAGAATTATCTCAATGCCCAACATATGAATTTGTAGCATTTTTGTTAAAATGTAGTTTGTAAGACTAAAATTAATGGTAATTGAAAAAGTGATTGTAATACTGAGGATCCTTCGATATTTCGTTGTATAGGTTTATTTATCACCGGAATTAATTTTTTTTGTTAAAATAATGTTACTTTTGTGTTTCAAATAATAACATATTTAAAAAGAATTTTCACGAACGAAGCAATCATTTATTGGCGTATTAAAAACAAACATACCTATACGGTCACACGTTGTAAGAATGTAATACCGAACAAAATTCGTTGGTTGGCTATAACATTGTAAGGCTATTTTGCATGGAAACACTTGTGAAAAGTATACAAAAAACCACAAGTAAAATTTTAAATACCTATTTCAAGTCATGTAGGCACCAAGGCCGCAAGAATACGCAAGAAGTTTTTATGTCGTGGTGTTAAGGACTATATGTTCTTACAAGAACATAAGGTTTGACTGCTATACTTTGATACTGGACGGAGAAAATTAATATAATTGTTATCCCCCCATCCATATTTATCTTCAATATTTTTTTATGTGTGAACGACGCATTTATATGAAAAATTGTACTGAACAAATGTTAATCAGAATTGAATTTTCCATAGGAAAAAATTTTTTTCCGAGCGAAATTGTCACTTTCGTTCCTAAGTCCACCTTTTTTAAAAACCGGACCACTGTGCGGCGCCGGTTTGGAATGTTCTGGGCAATTTTGACACCAAATAAAAAATCCGTTAACTCCGTTTCTTTTAAATTCTGACGTTTGAAATTTGTTCTCAATGGTTAATCGATTAATCGATAACTTATCGATAATTATCGATTAGTAGATAGTCAGTCAATAAATTTTAAAAAAATGGTCGACTAATGGATAATTTATCGAAAATTTTAAAAAATTGGTTGATAAATCTATAATTACAGATAATCTATCGATTAATCTCACAACTAAACTAAGAAGATAGATAATTATCGAGAGAATTTTTAATGACATAAAATTTTCAATGTTTAGGTATACCAGTTTACTTCAAACAAAAGCGATCAAGTAAGAGCATTGTGGAGTTGCCATGATCACAATTCACAACCTAATTCTGTACTAATTTTTTCAGAAAACTTCAGCATCAAAAGATCCTGTTTTATTTAAATTATCTCTCGCAATACCAATACCAAAAAAGCAAAAATGTTAGCGAATGTACGCATGGATGATGTAATTATCGATTGAAAATATATATCGATAAGATTTATGAAAAAGTATCGATAGTTTTCTCTTGATAATTTCCGCTACTAATCTATTAATCGATAAATATCAGATATAGACCATTTTCGACAAGTGGCAATAATCGGTTCATTATTGATTATTTTCAAAAGTTATCGATAATTATAAAAAGTTATCGATAATTATAAAGTTATCGATAATTATCAAACGTTATCGACGATTATCGATAATTATCGAAAATTATCGTTACGTGATTATTATCGATAATTGTCGATTATTATCGAAAGATATCGATAATTGTTTAAAGTTATCGATTAACGATTAATCGATAATTATCGGACTGAACAGACTTATCGATAAATCGATAACAATTTCATTTATTGCCCAGCTCATAGTAGGTATACGAATTCACGTAAACTGGGACCGATTTATTTATTGTATTTATTTGTGCACAATGCTGCAAGGTTATAAAAAAAGGTGATTCGCGAAATTTAGTTACCAAATGTGAATGTGGAAATGATGTAGGTACCTAAGAGTTGTATAATTCCACTACGGGACTGTTCTGAGGTTCATTTAAATTTGCATTACCGAAAACTCCATTTCCACATTAACATTGGGTAAATTTCGTCAACTTTTTTATACCCTGGCAGCATTGTTCATACTACAAATAAAATTAACTCATCGGTTCCAGTTCACGTGAATTCGTATATTCTGCCAACGCGGCGGCAAATGTGTTGGTACGTTTTTTCTCTTCGCGCTGACCGTTGGTTTTCAAATGCTTACAGCGGACAATATTTTGCCCTCAAATTTTTTTTTATCGTTTTTGAATAACAAAATCTCCCGCTTTCAGTAAAAATAAAAAAATGTCGAACCTGCCTATTGTACTGCCTGTGAATAGAATGTATGACATTGCATTCCTTCAAGGACAAGGACTGCAAGCTTCGTTCGTCTAAATGTATTATTATTTACATTACAAATTTACGCAACGCTTCTTAAGGGATCTATTTTTAGAACATTCCAATCCTATTTATAAAACCATTCTGTTTGTCCAATGATAACACAAAAAAAACATCCCGAGTTCCTGACATCTAACGATTAAAAAGGAAAATATTCGAATGGTCAAAATAAATGGTAAAGTCACTAAATATAGAAAGTACCGCAATCCATTGGGCTCGTGTGTTAGAGAGAGAACGCATGATTTTTGCCCAAAAATGGCGGAAGTTACCAGATTCTAGTAACTTTAATGTTAGGGATTTTTCCACCTGTTTGGAGATATCTGTATATATTTTTATAAAACGTGACAGTACTATGAAGTTAGGTTATAAAAAATGACAGCTATTCAGATTTTATTTGTCAATTTTTTTAAGTTGGCAGCAAATTTGCCCAAAAATGGCGGATGATTGCGGTACTTTCTATATCTAGTGACTTTACCTTAGACCATATAGTACATGGACTGCTAATTGTAACTAAAATATGGTCAAGGACATCGCCTGGGTATGTGAGTTTCAGGGTAAACGAGTCTGTCCGAAGTTGTCCGATTAGACACGATTTGAGACTGTCAACCTATAAATTAACAAACGTCAATTAATTAATCGCCTAGATATCCCAAAAAAAGCAGACTTATTCTTATTTGAGGACGTATAGTAAATAATGAAGAGTATTTAAAGCTTCCCGTACTACGCGGTTACTATAAAGCTGCTCTTTAAGCGATCCTAGTGGTGTTTACACGACTTTAGTTTACCCTGAGATTCACATACCCACGACTACAGTGCCCTCTATTCGTCACCATCCATTTTGTATTGAAAGCATAGGGCGAATAGCAGTCCATGTACTATATGGTCTAAGTTTGTAATGCTGCCATCTAATGTCAATGTAACGCTCCACTTTCGTTCACCCACGGACTTTCAAGCGATCGAACTGCCCTTAGCGGCGGAAAGTTCGCATATGGTCACAAACTGTTATATGGGATCCGCGCTTCTGATAGTTATAAATTCAATGATTCAACATTGTGTTAGTCTTAAATAGAATTTCGTTTTTGGACTATACATCGACATTTATTAAAGGATATACAAGGAAACCAAAGAGACAATAATGCTTTTAAACATCAAGGTTGGTATGTGGTACTTACTTGTCCCAACAGCCGATGAACACCCACCATTAGATTGCATCAACGATAAAAGTTGAGATGACGAATTACGTTGCTCCCAATTCTCCCCAAAATTTAAGAAGGGATTTGAAGTTTCCAAATTCAAATTATGAGCGTCACTGAAAAAGCTATTCGATAACTCATTGAACTGATCTTGCGAGCTTCGCGCGTGATTCTCCTGGTTGAAATCGCTCTTCTTAGATCCGATAGGGCCCAAATCGACCGACGATTGCTTGTACGGTTCCACGTACATTGTCGGTTTATTAATCTGATTCTGCGTCGGCGTAAGCGGTTGGCGCAAGGCGACGTTGTCGCTTCGCGCGACGACATCGCTAAACGTTGCGCGATTCTCGCCCCAAACGCTGCTAAATTGAAAAGTCGGACTTAATCGAACCGATCCGTTGGTGTTCTCGAGTTTTTTCTCTATTGACAATTTCTTGACAAGTGGCTGTTTGTCTTTGCGATCTTTCGCAAAAGTTTTCACCCCTCTCAATTTATTATCGGCGGTTACTTTTACCTCTTTCTGTTCTTGTTCTTTGTCTTTGGATTTGGGAACAACTTTCCGCGTGGTACGTTTGAAATCAAATTTGCCTACTTCGCTAGGCGACGGCGTTTTCAGTGTAGCCGGCGCTTTTGAGACGGGCGATTTTTTCCCTGTAGTCTTCGCCTCTTTCTCGCCCTCTTCATTGTTGCTGCTTTCTGTGGTGGTGGATGATGATTCCTCTTCGGAAATTTTCTTTAAATGTGTTAATTTCTTGTGCTCCTTGAGATCGTGCTTCTTTTGACTGTCGTGTTCGATGGACAGCTTTTCAGTGCATTTAGCTTTGCAACATTTTTTCTGTACGTCGCTCGCGCTTGGTTCATTTGTTATTTTTTTTGGTAACTTCTTCTTTGATTTGCCTGTTGTAGGAACTAGTGCGGTATATTTATCAGTCTCCTTGTTAGTCTTATTTGTATCATCCATTTGGTGCAGAATATCTGTTTCACTCTTTGTGTCAGATTGGATCTTCTCCTTTGGCGGCACCTCCTCCACCTTCTGTGCCCGAATTTCATTTCTAGTCTGTGCTGCCACCAACCGCAGATCTAAGGTTGGTTGAGTTGTAGAACTAGTTCTACTTACGAAAACAACTGCCTCTTTCAGTGTGTGCTCTGCTTCAATTATAATCATCGCGATAACAAACAAAAGTAACACACACATCGACGAAAGCATTAGGTAATATAAATATGGCTCCCATGCTGGACGAGTCAAAGCCATTGAACACGGTAATAAATACGCCGGCGGTACTGTCGTTAGTAAAGTATAATTGACCGGAACATGCAAACTAGTTTCCAAGCTTAATGTTCGAATCACCTTGGCCAACGTAAAGTCGGGCGTAAATGCAATATCAATCTTCTTTGTTGCGTTAGGCTGCAAACTGAATGGTTCACAATTTAAAACTTTAAATCCATATCCTTCGCATGGATTCGTGTTGATAAAAAATCCGGTTACAAAAATTGTGACCTCGCCCATATTCCGAGCAGTGAACGTACGCTTAACCGTCAGATTTGGCAGAGGATGCTTCTTATGTTCACAATCTTTCAGATGTTTGTCGGTAAGTTCAAAGGATAATGGTTGAATTGAACCCGGTCTACGGTTCCCAAATTTAAAGTGGGGAATCGACCCTTGTCCCACTAACTGTATCACCTCCATGACGGTTAGGTTGTTTCTGATATACAGAAACGCAGAGCTAATAACGGGACTAACTGCTTTAAATCCCAGTGTGAAGGTGAAATTTTCACCCGGATCTAAGATAAGTGGTAAACTGTTTTCGTGCGCATTTAAATCGGTTTGCGATTTAAATTTTAGGTGCACATTATTGTTAGCAACAAAGAAAAATGCACCCGCTTGACTGAGAAATTCGTAATTGGTGTAGCCCGGAATAAAACTTGGTGGCAATCCATCGTTTAAAATATCAATACCGGGATATGCTGGATTTAATACTAACTGAACAATTATTTTATGACTTGAAGGGTTGCGTATACTTATATTGTAGTAAGAAAAATTTCCTACTTGTGTTAGAGGAAATTTAAACACACTTCCATTGCTGCGTGTGTCTTCCACCACTAAAGATGGCCAACTCATTTTAACGCGCGTTTTAAAAATGTGCCATTTTACTTCGGATGTATCTAAACGAATGGTTAAATTTTGCCATCTTCTCAAACCGTTTCCGGTTTGGTTTAGATACCGATTATATAAGACATTAACCAGACCCACGTCCAAGTCAGGTGTAGTCGTTGGTAATGTCAGACTTTCCAACCACCGTTCTGTGAAAGAAGCATAATTATCGAGTCTTACAGTTAGATCTAATTACCTGAATCCTCAGAATTGAGACCGCAATAACAGTCATTTGAGCAACCCAATGAGGGGTCTAAGTATAAATGGCCAATAACTTTCGTGGAACGGGCCATTATGTGTCCCAAATGTTTGGTGCTTAATCTTGGATCTGGTGGAATGCTTAAAATATTTTCTATAACCATCGGGTCATTAAATGTGGAATGAACCCTCAAGGGATGTGAGCAAATTTTCCCCTAAAAAAGTTTGCATAGATATTTTTTTGAGATTTATCAAAGTAAAAAAGGCTCAGGTATGTAGTTTACAAGTAAATTATTCCAGGGACCATCCCAAAGCATCAGATCTGTGTGTTAAAAATATACTAATTTACAGTTTCCTACTGCTAATAAACAGATACCAGTTTTCTGATTTTTTTCACGATTGAGAAAACCTAGGATAACTGTCTAATAGGTGATGAACCAACCAATTAACTGGGAATGAGTTTGACATCCTACCCTCTACTACTCTATTCAAGCCTTTTCGGACGTGCGTAATTATCAAACGGTAAATAAACACAGCCCATTACACTGTAAATGCCCTACTTTAGCTTTGACCACCTAGCCATACCTTGGAACAGTGCCGAATCCAAAATATAGACAAAACAGAACTTGAATAGCGCAACTATTTATTTACTAATAAAACAAGTGATACACGCTACCAAGTCTGTCAATATAGCCCCCAGCATTGTGTACAATCGGTTTCAAATGATGTGGAAGTCCTAAACCACCTTTAGCAGCGCCTGCTCTGTTGATAATTTGATTGAAGCGTTCTACTCCTGCAAGAATCTCTGGAACTGCTCTGAAGCGAATGCCGCGAAGAGCTTCCTTCATCTTAGGAATTAAGCCAGTCACAAGGGCTTAAGTCTAGAGAGTGTGGTGGATAGCACAGTAGTTCCACATGTTGAGTTGCATGTCTGTTCTGTAAGGCAATTCAAATTCCCCGCAACCCTCTTGAATACTTTGATGCCACTGTCATACTGTATGGCCTCTGGCACATTCAATCTTCATCCAAGTCTGTTGTTCTTGTTTTGAAAACATCGACACTTGCTTTAGATCACAAGCTAATACAAGGTTCACTTCTTCGCGCCACTCCGCATGTGTGTGACGTAGAAAGGGCGAGTCTATTTGCTCAGAGGCAAGGTAGGTATGTAACTAATGTGTGGTGTAGGTATGTAACTAATGTGTGGTATACGTGGAATTCTTTGGTTTTGTTGCGTGGCGTCTTTACGGTAGTGTGGCCACTATTAAACTACCAACCCTACATGCTTACATTTTTTTGAACTAGCAATACAAACCAAACATTTTGTATGTATAAACTCGGAAAAGGATCAATTCAAAAGAAGCTAAAATACACACTAAATCTTTCGGGTTATCTTTCCCTGTTTTTTCTACTTCTTTGCATGGCATTATCTGGTGATCAATATCTTCTTTCTCTCAGCATACCCTACATTTCCTTCCTTTCGCTTCTCCCCACTTCTTCCTTTGTCTCTACTTGTTTCCACCTGAACCTTGTAATTATTTTTATCTTTTTCTTTCACTCCATTAGATACTTCGGCACCACCTCCGTTATCAGCTCCCTATATTTTTCGTTTCCTCTTGAATTCTCGATCCTCATTCACCCTTTTCAACCCTCCCCCTTCCCAAATCTTCAATTTTTTTCCGACATTTATTTCCATTCCTTTTCTTTTCCAGTTCCTCTCTATTCTTCTCATCATTTCCTTCATCTATTGCGTCTCCGCCGCCAATGCTACTGTGTCAACCGTGTAAGCCAGGGACCATAATTATCTGCCTTCTTCCCATCATGATTCCTCCACTATGACTCGTCCCTCCTGTTCTTTAAATGTTTGTCTATTTTCCCATCCTCCAACATTTTCCATTACTTTCTCCCTTTCTACTCTGTCAAGCGCAGTGCTTAGAACCATGAAAAACGCTAACCTCTCCGCCCGTTTTTTCCAATTCCTTTTCCACCATTTTGTGTAATACATAAAGTCGATCGTTCCCCTCCATTTTCTACAGCCCATTTGCGTTTCCTCCAACTTCCTCTCCTCTTCCATTTTTCTTTCCAATCTTGCATTCAGCACCATTGCGTAAATTCTATACCTCGACATCATTATTGAGATTCGCTATAATTTACCATACAGTCCTTGTCCCCTCTGGGTTGGGGGTTGGATAGTTGTATACTAGGTTGGGTTGGTAGAGCAGCCTTCCAATTCCTTCCATTCTTCCGGAAATCCTCCTCGTTTCCATGTTTATTCCATGTTTCCTCAACTTCTTAATAGTATCTGTTTTTATTTCCCTGATTCCTTGATAATATTCTTTCCGTTTCTTCATCTTTTTTTCCTTACATAATCGTTCTATTCTCCCACCTCCTTCTCCTCTTCTTTCCCTTTCTTTCTCTCTCTGTCATTGTTCTGTATCTTTTTCTCTCTTCTGTACGCTCTCACCACTCCCTTTTATCTCTCCCTTCCTCTTTCTTTACCTGTTTCCATGTTACTGCCTTTTTATACTCTCCTTCATATTTTTCCACTCCTCCTGTCCTTCTATTTCATACACTTGCTACTCTAGTCTCCTTCTATAATCCTCCACATTGTCTCTTGTCCTTAATTGTATCTCCCTTCGTCTTTGAATCGGCAATTTTCGATTTTTCTGGTTTCTCTTTAATTGCGCAACTTTTCCATAATTTGACAATCTTCATATTTTCTATGGTTTCTGAGAGACCCATGATAACACTTCCTTATCTTGGACACAGTGTACGTAATCCATCTCATCCTCTTCCCCTCCACTTCCACTTGTCTTTCCTGTATGCCTGCTTCTTGAAGCCCCCATTCTCTTGTATCTTTTTTCCCCTGTTAAAATGCCTCCTTTTGCACTTGCATTTATATTTTCCCTCTTTGCCAATTGGTTTTTCCATCTGTATTCATTCAGTAAGTTATTCTTCCTCCCAGTTATTTTCTTCTATCCATGATTCCCTCAACCCTACCACATCTTATCCTCTTACAAACACCCAGAATTGTACGGCTTTACTTGCTATCCCTGCCACAATCCACTCTGCTCGTTTCTTCTGCTGTTCATGTGTAGCTCCTTCTCTTCCCTCCTCCTTCGCCTATCTTCTCTTTTACTGTTAAAATGTTACCCCAAACCCCACCTTTCCCTCTTATGTTCTCTTCCTCTCTGCTTCCATTTATCCTCCACTTCCTGCTTTCTTGCCCTACGCTCTAATTTCCCTCTGTACCATTCTTTCTTCATAAGTCAGTTCGTCATCTATGTATATCCTGCTTTCCTTTTACTTTCCCTTACCTCTCGTAACTTCCCTGTTCTTTTCCCATGTTAGTTCCCACTACTTCAATTGTTCTCACCTCTTTTACGTTCGCCTCTACTTGTGATTTTTCTTTTATCCATTCTCTGTTTCCCTTTTTCCATCTCCCTTAATCGTTATGTTTTTTCCCTTTCTTTTCTCTCATTTTCTTTTTCGAGTTTGTTTATCTGTTCTATAAGTTCTTCTTTTTCCTTAACCCATTGCTCTTCCCTTCTTTCCCCCCTTAATCCTCCCATTCCCTCCGTCATCTTCTCTTTCATTTTTTCAATTTGCCCATGTGTCTCCTTAGCTACCCCTCTTATTTTCTCCTTAACATCCCCAATTCATTTTTCCTCTGCTCTCCTCAGCTCTCTCTTGAATAATCTCCCTTTTTTACGTCTTTCCTCTTCTTACTTCCTCATTTATTCATCGCATTACCAACTACACATATTCATCAGTATCAAATGTTAATTATTAAATCATGAGTAAAACCTTTGAGTCAACAGGTCAATAAAAAAACATACAGGGTGGTCACGGAGTAGGGGGAGCGAACATATTGCGGCACACGTAAAGGTACGGCCACAACGGAGCGCCGACCATCGCAACATAGTACCCTCGACCCTCGCTCCGACACACGCGCACGGGTGGTCACATTGAGGCTGGGAGAGTTCCAATTTTGTATCAGTTTCTCGGCATCCTCTTGCTTAGATTATTAATTCAAGTGCTAAAAAGTGGTACCTGTATAATGAGTGTCAAAAAATGAAGATACATACAAGGTACATCCATTAAACAAAAATCGTATGTTGTGTGGAAAATTTCTTCATCTACATAAAGCTTTAAAAAAACACCCTATCCATGCTTTTTTTTATTATATGAGGATGAAAATAGAAACACTTCACTATATTTTAACTATTAATTTGATTAATTTTTCATTATCTACCATTGCGCGAGCGATGGTCGACGGTCGAAAAAATACTAACCTCAATTCCATGGTACCAGGGTCTGGCCCAGACCTATGAGCGAAGCGGGAACCGAGGCGCCAATATGACCGGTTACAATTAAAAGCACTGAATGTGTTTTTTGTGATCGATGCTATGGTGCTATGCTATGGTTGGAGCGATGGTCGGCGCTCCGTTATGTCCGCCCACTAAACAATTTAAGGATGTGTATCAGGTGTCCCATTCTCAACATTTATAGGCTATCTCTGTAACTGTCAGTACCATCAAAAGGCGTCATAGTGTGTTCTTTTAGGGCAAACTTAAAATGGTAAACAAAAAATTTGAAAATCTTCGCTCGCTTAAGAAATATGGGGGAAGCTCAAAAAATTGTCAATTTCAGAATGACCCTATATGTTTAGTTAAAAGAAATACGGAAAAATGTCTCTTTATAACAATTGTTGAATAATCTGCAGTTTTCAAAATAAGTACGTCTCGGAGTCCGTAGTCAGGTAAAAAAGTTGTCAAACCAAACTCCATTTTTTTTAATGGGACACCCTGTATACTAGAGATACGTAGAAAAAACGAATTGAGCTATTTTATTCATTTATAATTGGGTGGTTATCACATTGCTATGTAAGATAGATCAAAACAGCCAAGTGGGACCCAATCATAATAAACCGTGAACATCTCCAACTTGATATAAGCTAATTATAGACATGAATAATGAGTATGCTAATGTACATCCTAGTTAAATGATAAAATATCAAAGCGGAAGAATGAAAAACTATTTAGGGGAGTAGAGGCAGTATTTTACACATCTTTCAATATATCTTTTCATGTGCGAATTTTTGGAAACTTATTGATGTAATTCATCTGTATGCATTTGAAAGTACACATTTACTTGTAAACCTACCACCAATACTTACCGGAAAGCACTGATCGAACACCAATCGATCAGGTCCAATTTCTAATTTTCCTTGTGCCACCTTATAATGTATAGGTATTGAAAGTTTCTCATACTGCGTCTCAACGACTATGTCACCCCAAACCTGTCCTTCGGCGTGTGGGGAATGAATCATTAGTTGCACAATCGCATATTCGTTTGAGCCCAAATTTGTCTACAGAGAAAATCAGTTAAGACAGTCACACTTTACCTACGACTTACGCATCGTGTGGCATTTTTAGACAGGTTCAACAAAAGCGCGTCCGAATGATTTCCCTTGCCGCAAGCAATTACTTCGATAGCGCTAGCGGGTAATGACGAAGCAATTTTATTGAAAGTAACAGGTACAGGGTTGGTATTCAGTAACAGAAATCTAGTAAACTTCTCCGTGTCCAAGCTCACTAGCCCTAAATCCAGAGAATTATCGTTACTGATGTAAGGGAAAGTCTATAAATGTCTAAGTAAGCTTACGATGCATTGCTTGACGCTTACTTACCAACTGTAGCTTCCCATTGTAGCTCAATAGGGGAAGTTCGACTGTGGAGATATTTGTCGTCAATACAATACAAGAGTTAAGTTTTAAGTTTGACAAGGACGTGTCAATTTTTAAATTAAGAGTAAATATAGTCAGCTCCTCTTGAGGTTGCAAAATCACTGGTTTAAAATTAAGTATCTAAAATCAACACTCAAATTATAATGCTTCACGTTTATGTAAAATACATACATTAAAGTATTTACGGGCGTCCGATAGCAAAGAAACATTTGTTAGCGCAAGTGGTATTAAGAAATCGTTTTTTACTGTAACATCTCTTGATATCATTTGCTTAGGTGATTCGTTTATAAAATATGTTGTAATGGACGAGTTAAATAACAGACCGCCTTCTAAGACAGTTATGTAGTATGGAATTTCTGTTTTACTTTTTCCATTTTTGTATCTAATTACTATTTTCCCTGAGAAATCTTTGTTCTCGTGTGCGGTTTTCCCTGCGCAAATATCATCACATTCAGAAATTGTTAAAACTAATGCAAAAAGTGAGTTGCAAATCATATAAAAATTCCGAATGGTTTTGAGTTCCAATTGAATTTTTCTCACATTTTCTGAATACAGCCTCTGCTATGGTGTGCAAGGACTTCAGACCTGAATAAGTATTAATACAAAGAAATATAATTAATAACATACAACTGCTTAGAAAAAGTAATGCTATGGTTGCAACTTTTATTTTCAGGGAAAGACTTATAGGCCTCACGATCCTCCTGCTACACACCACAGCTTTGGCACTACACGTCCTCATGAGCCGCTACTGATACACAGGTTTACAAAAAAAAACATGTTGAAATCATTATACAAAATAAAAGAAGAAATTTCAAAATTCTACTGCCTTCTATTACCTCAGAAAAGCCTAGCTATCAATTTAACTGTGAAACCCAACTGAAACTCAAAAACAGTCTCGAGGGATTAATGTCAATCAGTAACTTGAACTGAGAGATAAAGAACTTTCACAATTTGCAAGTGTTTTTCCCTGGTTGCACTACACTACGCGTCGGTAAAAAAAACAAAGAGTGATGGATCGTTCACTCCAAATTCGATTATTTGCTCTACTCCAATTTCGTGCAACCAGCGTGAAAAGCAAGAAGTTAAAATTAAAAGTAAATACGTACAATCGAGTGTAAGTGTTGCAATTTTAGTTGAAGTTGGAGTTCCCTTTGAACTGCGTAAATCTGACGGAACTTTCACATTCTCATAGTCAATTTTTATGGCCTTCGATGTTGATGATATGCTGTGAATTCTAACCGCCTTCTTCAACGGGTTGTGCACGTATAAATTTAACAGCTTTGGTAGATCGAGGGATCCACCGACACCGAAATCGACGGACCCTTGCGGTACGTACAAACCTGCACTTGAGGTAACTTCCACTTCTAATGGAACCACTAAAATATCTTCGGTGTTGTTTAATTTAATCCTAAACAGAAATTTTACAATTAGTTTGTGTGAAATCAAAAATTGCAATAAATGACTGTTTAGAATATAGCCCTATTCTAGTTTTAACGTTAGGGTTTCCTCCTCCTAAACTAAAACATGTACCGTGTCTCCCATTTTGGTTGAGAATTTGAGATTACAGCGTCTCTCACTTGGCGTTTTCGCAACCTGGGGTCACTTTTTTCTTTTAATACCACAAACAGATCCAATCTAGCTATGTTTTGTTTCTGAGATACGGGGTGAATATGAAAAGTTTGACATTTTAAGATGCTACCATATCTTACTACCCATAGTCCATTGAAATGTTACATTTTTTTGGGCTTAGCGTGCGTTTGTCAGAGGACGCAATTTTATTTTTTAGATATCAAGGAGGGGTTAGTCTATAGTTAAATCCAAGTTTGTGGGGTTGTAGCCCTTGTCCCGCGGTCGCCATCTTGAAAAATGGGGTGCAAATGGTTTTTATGGTTTATCTGACAAACTATTGGTCTCCCAAAAAATTTGTTCAGACATTTCTGAATAAGAATAAAATTCTCTACAACGTTGGTCCAGTAACTTTTAGTCGTATAACCAAAAGTAACAAAGTTATAAACGAAAATTGATGAACATTTTCTAAAAAATTTTCAATTGGTCTTTATAACTTTTTTTCTCGTCATTTTACAAAAAAATGACATCAGGCCATTTTTATAGAGGAGTTTTCAAGGAATGATTTTCATTACAAACTTTTTCGGTTTTATTCATTCATTAAGATTTTATAGCGCTCCAGTGTTAAATTATACATAAATATTAATGATTTTAACGTACCTTTCTAATGTTCTAAATGACATAATTATTGTTTCCTTAGTCTTTTTGATGGACCAGGCTGCGTTGGAATTGAAAACAATATAAATGTACCTACTCTTTGTCACTGATTTGGCGAATCGTTTGTATCTAATGCTGTTAAAAGAATCATCATCTTCATTGCCACCATATAAAAAGATGAAACAATGTTCACCAATGACAGTGAGCAAAGCAGGACCGAGGAACAACGCTACTCCACTAGCTAACTCTGGATGTTTCTCCAGTGTTATGAGAAATTTTAGTTTGCCAGTGTTGTGAGCTGATGTTGTGTTACATCCTGAAAAAGCATGGAGAAACAGCAAATTATCGTTTTCGTGCATAAAACCTGACTGAGAATACAATTGCTCAACTGTACGTCCTTTTCACGGTTTAAAAAAATAGATTTCTTTGCTCCAAAAGTCGTGAGCAACACAAGTATGTCGATATCTTCAACTACAATAGTAACTGAGTCAAACGATTGGGATGCAGCAAAAGCAGAATGAACGATGAGGGGGTCTGCATCTGATTGTGCTTGGTCGACAGTGAAACCCACCTCTGAGAATGAATTTTTGAGAAGTACAATGAAATTAGCCTTGTTCTTCTCATTGCCAAGAAATTTCTCTTGTGTCGGTACGGCGTTCTTATCGAATTGTACCTACTTCTGTCGACTGATGTTTCTTCGTACGATGCAAACGGTGCCAAGACTTAGTTCCTGCGACATCGGGGTCTTCTGAGCAGCCGTCTCGTAAAGGCAACACTAATACGTAGATGTTCTTTTATCCCCAAACGGTTATTATCTTTTATCCCTGCACAGTATTCTCGAAAATGAACACTCTGATTTTATGAATCTAGAGAATTAGTATTCGTTTCGTAGCACTGTAAAATCTTAATTAATGCATAAAATTGAAAAACTTTGTAATAAAAAATATTCCTTGAAATCAAGATTACTATTCACTCGGTAAACGCATGGACGAAGGTTGACCCTATGTGGGATCAATAGGTTTTGTGTGTTTAGGCAACACACACATCAGTTGTTACTTGTTACAGAAAATTGCAGGGAGTTTAATGATCACAATATAGGTGTCACTTTTTGCAGTTCTGTAGATCAGTATGTGCAATAAGAAAATATTTATTGGAGTTTTATGTTCTACAGAACCATAAAAATAATAAAAGAAATCAATTGAGAACGTTGACATGGGCGGTAATCCCACAACTATTGGTATGTACGCACACTGTCACTAAATCACTCACAAAACTACTATTAAATGCAACACCTTATATATTTTAACGTCAATTTTTGGCATTCGTTTTCCTGATTACGTTGATGTATCACAACCTATATTTGTTTTAATACACATAAATTATGTATCGTATTTTTAACAATTTTGAAATGACACGGCATGTCATCCATTTTTATTGATTGATATGAGCTGCCATGGATATTATAAACAAAACAAAATCTCTATAAACCCATGGCCTACCTATTTAAAAACCGTAAAAAAATAAGGTTTTTATTTTTGCTTCAAGGTTAAAATTAAAGAAAAATAGATTGTGTGTGTGCGGCGGGCAAGAAATTTTTTTTACTACGCCACTGGATTGTACGTAAACATATCTAAAATAAACAGTTTTTACCTTTTTTCTACCTTACATGGTAGTCCATTGAAAAGTTACATTTGGGGTTGCGTTTGTCAGAGGACACAATTTTATTTTTTAGATATAAGGGGGGGTTAGTTTAAAGTTAAATCCAAGTTTGTGGGGTTGCAGCCCTTGTCCCGCGGCCGCCATCTTGAAAAAAGGGGTGCAAATGGTTTTTATGGTTTATCTGACAAACTATTGGTCTCACAAAAAATGTATTCAGACATATTTGAATAAGAATAAAATTCTCTACAAGTTTGGTCCGTAACTTTTAGTCGTATATCCAAAAGTAACAAAGTTATAAATGAAAATTGATGAACATTTTGTAAAAAAATTTCAATTGGTCGTTATAACTTTTTTTATGGTCATTTTACAAAAAAATAACCTCAGATCATTTTTATAGAGGGGTTTTCAAGGAATATTTTTTATTACAAAGTTTTTCAATTTTATTCATTAATTAAGATTTTACAGCGCTACGAAACGAATACTAATTCTCTAGATTCATAAAATCAGAGTGTTCATTTTCGAGAATACTGTGCAGGGATAAAAGATAATAACCGTTTGGGGATAAAAGAACATCTACGTATTAGTGTTGCCTTTACGAGACGGCTGCTCAGAAGACCCCGATGTCGCAGGAACTAAGTCTTGGCACCGTTTGCGTCGCACGAAGAAACATCAGTCGACAGAAGTAGGTACAATTCGATAAGAACGCCGTACCGACACAAGAGAAATTTCTTGGCAATGAGAAGAACAAGGCTAATTTCATTGTACTTCTCAAAAATTCATTCTCAGAGGTGGGTTTCACTGTCGACCAAGCACAATCAGATGCAGACCCCCTCATCGTTCATTCTGCTTTTGCTGCATCCCAATCGTTTGACTCAGTTACTATTGTAGTTGAAGATATCGACATACTTGTGTTGCTCACGACTTTTGGAGCAAAGAAATCTATTTTTTTAAACCGTGAAAAGGACGTACAGTTGAGCAATTGTATTCTCAGTCAGGTTTTATGCACGAAAACGATAATTTGCTGTTTCTCCATGCTTTTTCAGGATGTAACACAACATCAGCTCACAACACTGGCAAACTAAAATTTCTCATAACACTGGAGAAACATCCAGAGTTAGCTAGTGGAGTAGCGTTGTTCCTCGGTCCTGCTTTGCTCACTGTCATTGGTGAACATTGTTTCATCTTTTTATATGGTGGCAATGAAGATGATGATTCTTTTAACAGCATTAGATACAAACGATTCGCCAAATCAGTGACAAAGAGTAGGTACATTTATATTGTTTTCAATTCCAACGCAGCCTGGTCCATCAAAAAGACTAAGGAAACAATAATTATGTCATTTAGAACATTAGAAAGGTACGTTAAAATCATTAATATTTATGTATAATTTAACACTGGAGCGCTATAAAATCTTAATGAATGAATAAAACCGAAAAAGTTTGTAATGAAAATCATTCCTTGAAAACTCCTCTATAAAAATGGCCTGATGTCATTTTTTTGTAAAATGACGAGAAAAAAAGTTATAAAGACCAATTGAAAATTTTTTAGAAAATGTTCATCAATTTTCGTTTATAACTTTGTTACTTTTGGTTATACGACTAAAAGTTACTGGACCAACGTTGTAGAGAATTTTATTCTTATTCAGAAATGTCTGAACAAATTTTTTGGGAGACCAATAGTTTGTCAGATAAACCATAAAAACCATTTGCACCCCATTTTTCAAGATGGCGACCGCGGGACAAGGGCTACAACCCCACAAACTTGGATTTAACTTTAAACTAACCCCCCCTTTATATCTAAAAAATAAAATTGTGTCCTCTGACAAACGCAACCCCAAATGTAACTTTTCAATGGACTAAAAAAAACTGTTTATTTTAGATATGTTTACGTACAATCCAGTGGCGTAGTAAAAAAAATTTCTTGCCCGCCGCACAATCTATTTTTCTTTAATTTTAGCCTTGAAGCAAAAATAAAAACCTTATTTTTTTACGGTTTTTAAATAGGTAGGCCATGGGTTTATAGAGATTTTGTTTTGTTTATAATATCCATGGCAGCTCATATCAATCAATAATGACATGCTGTGTCATTTCAAAATTGTTAAAAACACGATATATAATTTATGTGTATTAAAAAAAATATAGGTTGTGATACATCAACGTAATCAGGAAAACGAATGCCAAAAATTGACGTTAAAATATATAAGGTGTTGCATTTAATAGTAGTTTTGTGAGTGATTTAGTGACAGTGTGCGTACATACCAATAGTTGTGGGATTACCGCCCATGTCAACGTTCTCAATTGATTTCTTTTATTATTTTTATGGTTCTGTAGAACATAAAACTCCAATGAATAGCAATCTTGATATGTAAACAAACGCATTGCAAATGGGTTGCTTAAAAAATTAAGTCAAGGCATTCAGATGAATATAATTAAAATTTCAGAAATTAGTCCGTCCTTTGGTATGTAAACACACCAAACAATGCTAATTCAGTGTCATTAAGGGTGCGACCATTAAAGAAAACAATAGTGATTTTGTGTGGGATATCCCAAACTTTGAAATTGCGTGGTTTTTTTTCACTTAAACACATCAAGTTCCTATCTATGGATCTATCAATAAATCAAAATTCTCATACTCGGTATTTAACAGGAAAATTCAGCAATCCTTATACAGGGTGTTATGAAAACTACGGGTTGACTATATGCGGCCGTCTTCTACGACTAAAAATCAGAAAAAAAGTTCAAATAAAGACATATCTCCTAAAATGATATTGCGGATCTTTGACCTAGTCATAACGCGTGTCAGCAAATTTGGAATTTTTGAGCGCGTGAGGTAGTCCTTGATCCTATGGAGTCATTTTGAACATTTATTATAATTTCAGTTTAACAGTTGCATTTATTGTTATCGTTTTGAATCAAAAATTAAAAACTCAGCGTTTTGATGTGGATACCGATTGATCCCCTTTTTGCTAAAAATTGATTTAAATTTAATAGTGCCTTTTTGTAATTTTTTGAGGTGATTCATTTAACCACCCTCGATTGGGACAGCAATTATTGTTTATGTTCTATCCCTGTCAATTATTTTATTTCCTTAGCTTATCAAGACCAAAACAAGGATCTCTGAGTCTGCGCATGCGTTTAAATACTGAATATACGTCTCAAATTTTAAACACAGATGCTTACATTTTTGGCGATCTTTTTTTTCATTTAAGTTGTGGTCGTATTTTTCGAAATCTGAAGCCACAATTGCTTTTAATATAGGTAGTGTCCATGCCGGAAGTTAGATATTGGCATGCGCAGTACATATTGCGTGTTAACATTACTCTCCTTAATCTAGAATGTCTTGAGACCAATAAAAAGCTGCAGACTCGAACTCGACTTAAAATGTTGAAATTAAGAAAAATAAGTTGAGATGGATGTATTGCATTTCAAGTCTTTGAACTACATCCAATACAATACCTACACACAGTTAAGATCACCATGTCGGGATATATAAAAAAATGAATGATGTAAAAGGGTTTTAATGCCACTAATGCCTGGCTGATGACATTCCTTCAAGTAGTTTAAGTCATCAAATGGTGTACACCATAGTAAAAAAAATTCTACATGTGTAGTAAACATCTATAATTTTGATAATGATAAATTTTTTCTAGTATGTTTGTATAATGTTATACAACCACGTATGTATGTGGTTGAATGATTTTAGAAAGTATACTAAGATAAGGATAAATTTTGATAAACTGATTAAATAAATTGGTGCATTAATGAAATATATATTATTCATTTATTTATTCCATATAATGCGCTGGTGTAGATAGGAACAGGGTTTGTAATTAAGATAATTATTTATGATACATCATTTCACACATACTCATTTTGTGTAACTAAAATTATGTGATAAGAAAATCAATCTTATCTTCGTGGGGATGTGTTGTGATATAATATTTACAATGATATGATAATGAAGGTTAATCGGAAATATTATCTACACCTATTCAATGCCTATCTAAATTTAGCTTGTCCTATTTTTTTCATATACAGTAAGAATTCCAGAAATCCCTTCCCACTGTCATTATTTATATAAATTGAATCATCCGATCATTGTAATCTCAAACAAGTAGGGTTTTTTTTCTTGGATGCTTGAATACTTTGTGAGCTTGTCAATTGTCATCACCATGTACAATTTTTACAAAATTTGTTGGATGACTAGTGGGCCATTTTTATGTTTGTAGGTGAAATTGGATAGATCCATTGAATTCTTCTGTTTAGGATGTGTCAAGTTTGAACAAGAAGGCTCTAAAACCATTTAGGGATTCTTCCAGACCAGAACATTTGATGCAAATTGATCTTTTTTGCCCTTGTATATTTACTAGAGTAAGAAAAACCATTTGTAAAAGGGATCGCTATCGACCTGATGTCTAAATTGCTCTAACGTAGGCGTCACACATACATTTAGCGGATTATCGTTGCTAAGGGTATCTAGTCACAGTTGGTCTTTTTGGAATTTAGAACTGTTGGTTCTTTGCAAAGATTTATCTAATTGTGTAAATAAATAGTTACATTACCCTAAAGCCGCTTTTTAATTAAATGTATCAAATTATTTGATTTCGGGCCAATGTTTTGTATCAGAATAAATGATGTTTGATGATTTTGTGTAAATAATTGTTTTGTTTATTTTGTTATGATAATTGTAAATTTAAATTACATGTTAAAAGACTAGATTTATCCAGTTTGGAAATTACGTGCGTAGTATTTCTAAAAGTTTATCTCATGTTTTTCTCCGGTCGTAGATATGACGTTTTCTTATCTAATTAGTTTCAAGATAACCACGTGATTTCGCCGAAGTTTAACACATTTCTAAGATTCTAAGATGGCGCATTATTTTGTAACGGAAGAGGGAATTAAATGGAAAGGGAAAGATAGCCGTATTTGAAAGTTATCATTTATACATTTTGGCGCAGTGGGCGCTCGGTACGCTGGCGTTGGACAGTCCGACACATCCAGTATAATCTGACATTTAGCGACTCAGATGACCCACTAAATAATCTGGCACTACCCAGTTGAGCTCGTTTGCAAAATTTGCTTTTGCGCTCGGTCCTGCCCTGATCTTGACAAGAAAACCATGCGTCTTTTCGCTTTCGTTGGCGCCTGCCTGCGTAGATTGCTTAGTAGTTGCCAGCACGCGTCGATCGCTTAGACAAGATGGCGGACTTTTTGCACCTACTTTAGTAGGTACTCTTTTAATGGAGGAATCTATGATCGAATGTAGTACATGTAGGATATAAAAAAAGCTACGTATCCCACACAAATCCACTAATCCAGCAATTCCAGTAATCCGGCAATTAGATTCTATAAACAAAATTATGTACGGAAACAAAAATATTTGACGTACCACAAAAATTACAACCCTCACAATCAACGAATCGTTATGTAAAAGTGAGTTTCAATTGTTGAAACGTGCAGGGTGTGCACATAAAGGGTGGCTTATGGACCCTGTAAACAAAATCAAACAAGGAAACAAAAATATTTGAAGTACAGTAAAGTCGCGGTAATCCAAACCTCGGTAATACAAGGTTCCTTGCAATCCGACATCCAAAAGAAAAAGACAACTCAAAGCCTTATTTTATTTTCATGTAGTAGCTATGCTATTCGGCACCACTCAGCCCACCAATCCAGCGAGTGACGGATTGAAGGTCAAGAGTACACTCTCACAAGCAATTTTTGAAATGGAAAATGTGGTCTGTGGGTACGAAAATAAAACAGAACGATAAATAATTATTTGCAGATCAATAATTTGAAAAATAGAATAATTTGGATAATAATCTAGTTGGTGTCTTTGTTTTTTTGCCCCCCCCCCTCTCCTGCAACCCTTAAAAATGGCTTCATCCTGGTTGTGAACTTGTCTAAACTAACTTTGATTTCAACGATTTCGTGTCAAAAAATGCCAAATTTCATGTGGATCAAAGGGGTGTGTGTAAACATTTTTGAGAGTAGCTCCCAGTTAAAGTGTTTATATGGAAAATAAAGTTAAAAAATTTACATTCAGATTCACTGTAAAAATTAACATAAATCCAAATTAGCACGTTTTAATTAAGATTTAATTGCTATTTTAATTATCTCCATTTAACTCATGACTATAGATTTTATTATAAGTGAGTAGCATATTATTTTTATTAGACCTTGGCATTACAGTGTCACCTTTATAAAAGCCATAATCTAATTTGTGATAATGTAACCAAAAATATAAAATAAACACACCGCAATTACTGTTGTTTGTATCCAACCACATCTCAAGTATATCAAATAAGGATACACTAACCTTACGTATGCCGTATGATTTTGTTCGGTTCGAGCATGGAACCGCACCCTTATTACAGCTTTGGACTGAAGAGGCGGTATTTCCCACATGTTTTTCGGCCCTTCCAATTCACCACTTGGAAGCTCCAAATGAAAATCACCGCCGCTACTGTATATTTCTACAATCTAAAAGAGCATTATATCAGCAGAGATTTACGGTCTTTCGTTACCTGTATCGGCTCTGTATACGGATTATACATATGGATAAGAGGTGAAAATGTAGTGTTTAATGGTAATTTTATACCAACAATCGGTCTAAGCCTGTACGGGCTCGAGACACTTGCTCCTTTCACCTGAAATTTTAATTTTATAGCTCATTTCAGCGATAAAATTAAAAAAATCATTTTCAATTGTAAAGCCTGAGAGTAACCTTCAAGCGCAAACATAAATATTCCATCCTTGACAATGTTGATAAAACAAATTATCAAAAGACAAGGTTATACACCTGCTCACCTGATATTTAAAATGCCCATCAGTAGTGTGAATAAATAAACTACTTTCAATGGCACCCTCCTCGCGCCCCAAGAACACGACGTTAAAGGACGTGTTTCCCAACGGAGGAATTCTCTACAAGCATAAAAATAATGCGGGGAAAAAAACAAAGAAGGCCGCTTACCTTGTCCTCGAAAAACGAGCTGTGAAAATGAACAGTGCTTCCAGAGATCGAAGTCATATCGATACTTCTGTTACTATCGATGTTGAAAAGTGTAACTTTGGCCAGATGAGGTATTCCCAGTGGCCTAAAAGTGTCCAAAGTTTGAAAAGCAAATTATTACAGATGCTTACCTTTGTTCGAAATCTAAAAATTCCGGATCAAACTTTAGCAAAAGTTTCATGCCGAGATCATTGAGTGAGGGGCTCCTTACGGAGGATGATACTTCCTAAAATGTCAGGATAGTTAGTTAACGCTACATAGTATAATCTGTTTGCTCACCTGATGAAATGCTGAAATGTCATCAACGAAAAACCTTTCGTGGTTGTGTGAAACGAATCCTGCAATAAGAATTATTTAATCGCCCGGGTTGATAAGTGTTTGCTTTTATCAATATTAATAATAATATTTGAAAATATACAAACCATGACTGTTGTCATGAAGAGTTAAGTGTGTTTTAACAAACACCTCTTGCAGCGTCAATAAAATAATAAAATACGATAGCGAATGTGTAACCATATTATCGCTGGCATTAAAAATAAATTATGCCGAAGTTATAAAAACAGTGCACATCTGCAATCGGACTACACATATCCTTGGCTTTTTGATAAGGATTATAAACGTCAATTATTGCACTAAAAAACACAACCCTAAAATCCCTACAAATGATTCAAGTACGTGTGTTGTTGTCAGTGGCGTTGCTATGGGTAAAATACTAACCACAGACCGTGTCACATTCGTTTGTTTATTACTGTGTCAAGGATAGAACTGATAGAAGGCTAGTCCGCACATGGCATTAAACTCTACCAATTTATAGATATTGATTAATTACCCAATAAACAAATCACACAAAGTACGAAATTCGAGAAAAATGGGAGGCTATGACGAATATTTGGGAATCAGTCTAAATATATACCTCCAGCAGTTCACAAATTTGCAAACTAATAAACAAAATCTACACCAACGAACAAAAAATATATACCTGTGAAATTTTATTCGCTTAAGAACGCGAGGTTAATAGGTAGGCGAAGAGCAACATATTTTATCATGCACAAACAGACAGACAGATACACTATGAAAAGCGAAGACGTACGCGTCACCGTAGTGAATTCCGTAAAGTATGTCGAATTTAAAAACACTAATTCTCAAAAATTTAAAGTACAGTATATACCTACTGGATAAACTTGTAATGTCTGTTAGTATGATCGTTGGTCCTCATGCACTATCTTGGGAATTTGTTGTTCGTTAGGCAACCAACATGTCACCTTACCGACGTTGCCCGAAAGTGAATGCAAGGGCAACCGAAGGCGAGCTCAACATAGCCTACTTCACAACTGCATATTTTGTCTATTTGAAGGAAAATATATGTATTTAACAGTCGTCGATGAGTCTTTGAAATTGACATTTAAAGGGTATTTAATAGCTTCGGAGCAAAGATCATACTACACTTGTTCGGAGTAAATAAATATTTAACAGGCCGGTGCGCAGCGCAGCTGCAAGGCCGCCGCCTTTCGATTATGATGACACGGGTTCGGATCCCCCGAGCGCACGCTTTTTTTATATAATAGATCTTAACAAAAAGAAAGGAGCGAAAGAGTGAGAGAAAAGGAAGTAGTCAGTGCTGTCGGCACTTACCAAAGGTTTCCCGTTATACCGTTATAGGTAACTCATTTGTCGTAAGTACCTTCATATTTGATCGCATTATAAGGAATAGTCCTTCAAAAGTTAAGACCAAGGTTGTTTTATTAGAGAGTTAAGACAGCGTTATTTACACTATCTTAATTTTTATCTTTATTTGCGCCATTGAGTTGCTGTCAAGTCACCTTTGGAATTTTTGTTTACATGGGAAATTGTACTTAACTTGAACTTCCAAAGGCGACTCTACAGAAAATCACTTTTGATCGCCCGTTATACATTTTTTAATATTCTTGGTATAATTATATTACAGAAATATTCGCCGTTATCAGGGATATTGTATTCCTTCCGAAATTTACGATTTAAAGAAAATTATTTTATAACAATACTAGCTGCCCGACCCGGCTTCGCACGGGTGTTTGTAATTTTCGCATTCTTGGTTACAGGTTGGGAAAATAATACTGCAAAATTTGGATTGAAATCCCTTTCCAGAATTATATTTGCACCAAAAAATGATGTAATTTGGAATACACATCAGTTATAATGTTGAATATTCTGCAAGAAATGCTTCGATAGAGGGCTTTGCTCGGAAAGAAGTGATGAATTCAGTGGTTCAGGTGGCGTTGTAAGTTGCGGTAATTTGACGTATCTACTGGCATAATATAATCCTGCTGGTTCTAGTCGAAACCTCAAAGCGAAAGGAATTCTGTGGAGTATTGGACTCGAATATCAACTTTTTGGACGATAATTTGAAGACACTCGGGTTTACATTAGAACCTAGAACTGCCGTTTCCATGTCCCCAAAAAATACTTTCTCATTGCCCCTTTTTGAGCACTGTTGGAAGATTCTTAATACAACGTTTTGTTTCGGAGAAATTATCACAAACTATACTTTTTATATGGCCCGTGTAAAAAGTACACACTGTATTTAGTACCTAGCACTTTTTATTACGAATCCAACTATGTACGTCACACAAATAAAAACAAAAGTTGGAAATTGTGGGTTTCAACAGGTTGGCGCACCCGGACACAACGTCTTAATCGTGCAAGCATACGAATCTAACATTTTCTAGGAATTTATCCGATAGGTATGCTCGCAAGTTGTGCGCGGGTACTGTCTCGTAGAGTTCAAAAAGTGGCAATGAAAAAGTGTTTTTTGTCTTTCTCGTTGTATCTGTTCAAATAACACCAGCAATTAGCAAAAAATAAACACAAAATCGGCAAGTTTTGGTTTTTCTGTCATATCTTCGGAAGTAATCGGAATTTTTTTGTTTTCTCTAAAGCACGATAATAATGGTTTAATTGCGCATCTTTTCTCTAATTTGACCATCGTCGTATCTTCTATGGTTTCGATCTCCATGATAGACATCCTTATCTTGGACACAGTTTATAGATTTTTTCCAATTAATTGGTGAATTATTTCCGAAGAGTTGGCCAAATAATGAAAAATCCTGGCCCCCCCCCCCCGGGACGTCCCTGCGTTTATCCGACCCCGACTTTTACCCCAAGCGAGAGAAAGCCCGCACCATACTGTAGTTTATATAGTAAATCTTAAATTACTTAATTCTTAAAAATTTGGAAAATGTAATCCCTTTATGGCTTAATTGTATGTTGGATCGTCCTTGCCCTTTTTATAAATAGAATTTGCGGAAATGTTTTTAAAGTAGCCGCAGATGTAGGGTAGGTAGGTACGAATTTATATTGAATATGTCGAAGACTATTATTTTCATAAATGATATAGTAACATTTGCATCCTTTGCGTGCATTTGTTTGCTTTCATTTTTAAGAAAAGAGAGCATTACCTACATGTTTCGATAACGCAAGCACAACAAAAAAAGGACTATCTAATTTGATGCAGTCGTTGATGCGCGTAATAATATATGTATAGATAGATAGACAATAGACATGGAAGATTGCGATTTGTACGACGAAAGAAAAAAAAATAGTTCGTGTAAATAATGCAGCAGTGGGCAGTGAACGTATAAACGGTTGACGCCATCTATTAGTTATATTGCGATTTAAACGGCGAAAGAGAAAAGTCTTGTTTTTACGTCTTTCCGTACAATTTTTACAAACCTTGTCCTGATAATGAGAAACACAACAAAAATAGTTATTTGTTTCATTAGTACAAAAAATGTCAGTTTTCGGGACGAGGAAGATAGTTGCTGGACGACGCGTTATATTTTGTATTGAAATAAAAAACTTACCACAGTTTTTTTAATTAAAATTAATTGCAATAAACTTTTTCAAATTTTGAATTCAAAATGACAGATAATAGTGCAAGGGGTCTGAAGTAGATGGCGTTACGCGCGACGGCGGGTTGTATACGTATTAAAATTACGTTCATCGAATATGTAAATTACGTTACACATGATTTAAATAAAAATAGCGAGCGTAAATCATTTTCAATACATGTACAAACGTATAGGTGACATCATTATTTGCATTTATATGCAAAAAGATTTGATTTGTATGTATAGAAATATCTTATAACCTGCAATGTAAAACGATGTCAATGTGACATATCTCCGTGATTGTAATTTTTTAATTGGCCAACTTTCAAGGTCAATTTCTTTTTGGTACTAGGACCAAAAGTATCTACTTTTTGTACAGTTGCCATGGTGAAAGCGATTAATCCGCAAAACGTCAATTTTACGTACCGAACACTGTCACAAAATAGCGTCTTATTCAGGTGGTTGGAGAAAAAAGAATTATCTAATTTGGTGCAGTCGTTCTGAAGTGATGTGCGTACATAAATTTTGGCGATTCATTTTTATATATATATAGATAAATTCAATGGTGTTTTTTTGGTAGCAATGGTAGCAAGCGAAACTCGACCGAAAGGAACTTTAAATATGCTAAAGATAATAAGGCACGAAGTCGCTTGCGCGCCATGTTAACTGCAACGGTAGCAAGCAAAACTCGACCGTAAGGAACTTTTCAATTTTTTTACCTCTTCCCGTACGATTTTTTTTATTTTCTCACCTTTTAAACCTTCCCTGAACTTCCACAAATAATTCAAAACCAAAATGAGCCAAATCGGTCCAGCCGTTCTGTAGTTATAGCGTCAGGAAGGAAAACCCGACTTATTTTTATATTATAGATTTTATAAATAGTCGAGATTCGAAAAGGGCACTGTGAATTTTGAATCGATTCGACTCAACTGTTGGCATTGCGTGTTATATGGTTAAAGCTATGCTCATATTGAATTTCATGCAATTCAGTTCATAACTAACGGAGCTGTAAAACGGACATTTCTAAACAAAGTTATCGTTCACACGGACAGACAGAGGGCCGGACAGACAAAGGAACAGACAGACGACAGACAGCAATACAAAATTATAAACGATCTCTAGGATCGTTAATAAACGGCAAAAGTGTAAAATTATGGAACATGTAAAAAACGGTTTTTTGGTTTTTTTACAATATTTTTTTAGCAATAAACGCAGAAAAAATTCCTTCGTTGGTGCAAGCCTCGACACCATAACGAACCAAATAGCGAAAAAAGTAGAATAATCGCTCTTAAGATAAAGAACTAGTAGCGTCTCAACGAACGAACGGACGGATGGACGGAAAAAGTGGCCACAATAGCGCATTTTTTTTTAATTTTTGTGGAAATGCGGTAATAATCGATGCTGTTTGTGTGCTTAGATCATGTGCTTCTGTATAAATAATAAGCGCGTGTATGAAAAAAAATTTTGTAACCGATCCGATCTGGCAACATTGACAACTCACTTTAGTGTGAATTTGGCAGTTTTATAACCTCAACTCAACGATTAACTTTCGTTCGTAGCTAAAGTTGACGTGGTATAGAGGTGTATCAGATTAGATTGCCGCATGAGAAGTAGATAACTAAAGTTAAATAAATTGGAAAAAATGGATATCGCTTCATTATTCGATGATGTTCGTCGTATGAACAAAAGACAGGTAATTGATAAGAAATTCATTGATTGGAAAAAGATGTTAACTCCCCAAATTGCAGTTTTTGTACCAAGTTTTGAGCTTTGGTATGATAGTCTCTTCTGCATTGATGATATGGAAGGGTTTAATGGTTGTAACA